AACTCCTCACCACCCCCCTTCGAAAAACTTGGAAAGTTCTGTGCTTAACACTGAAAATCATTCATATGCCTCAGAGTAACAGCACCATTTTTCTTTCTAAATTTCTAAGGAAAAAAAAAGAAAAAAATCCAAGTTTATCACAAAGCAGTTTTCTTTTTTTTTTCCCACCTATCCAAAATACCTAATCTCATTTTAACTAGGCTCCATCTGAACATCAATGATACTCAGCTAGCCCATGAATAAACATGATGTTACAAGGGAAACCCTGTGACTAAAGTATATAAAAATGTAGCTGAAAGAAAAGACTGAGAGCCCTCCACCCCCTTCCACCCCCTCCCCGGGGAGCTGGAGAATTGAACTGAGGCGGGGCTAAAGCAGCAGATTTAAATTTCAAGGTCTTCAAATATTTTCGACGTTCATATTAAATCCTGTAAAACTAAAAACCGTAATTCTAAGAAAACCCCTGTGTGCATGGTAGCTTCCCTTTATAATCACAGTCTTCTCTTTGGGAGTGGAATGTGTAATACTGATACAAGGGGAAAAGCCCTCAAAACAAAAGAAACACATCACGGGACCCACACTTTCCTGATGTTTGTGATATTTTATCAAAATCAGCAGACTGCCAACATGAAAAAAAACTATATACTTAGGAACCTCTTCATTGGAATGGAGACATTTTTGGTCTTTGAATGAGGAAATAAGCTATAGAAAAGTTACCTACAGTAACCAAAATTTTTATAACTTGATAAAGTTCTTTAAATTCTATAAAAATCCAACATTACTGAAATCCTTTCACTAAAAATGAAGGTCACTATGATGATCTTATATTTTACCTATATATATTCTTTTATCTCATAGCACAGACCTCAGGAAATGAAAATAACACTGCTTCTTCTATTATTATTGAAGCTTGTTACACAACAAATTCTGAAATCTTTAGGACACAGTTTTATGTCCTATCTGATTATACTCTGTGTGCAGCGTTAAACAAAAAATTATGCAGTTCTGTTCTTCCAAAAATACATTTGAGACAGCAAGATTGTTCAAATAGTAAATGAATTTGAGAAGACCTCAGGTCAATTCATGGTAACGTACACAATGGAAAACATCGTAGCCCTCTTCCTCCTGGCTAGGATACAGATCAACATTGAGGAAAAGCTCCAAGAGTTTCTCTTAATTTCAACTAAAACGAGGGGGAAACATTCATGCATTTCTTTATGAAATTCCACTGAGATTCTGGTGTTGCAAAGAAATTTTTATTTCCCAGAATAGCCAGCAGCATTGAAAACATATTTATGTTGTGTTGGTTCGCTTTGTAAAGCGTTCATATTCCTTTAAAAAGAAATGAGGTCCCATAATTTCTTAGACACTTGCTTTCCTTGGCCACAGAGATTATGGATCTAAATTGCCTCATGATGAAATAAATGTGGAGAGGTGGAGATGAGCAGTTTTAGGGCACTCGGAAGTTGGTCCCTAAAGCAGCTTCAGGAGGTAGCAGCACCCCCAAAGGCATCAGAATTGTGCTTCTCAGGAATGATGCCAATTTCAATGACACTGGGTTTCCCTGGTGACTCAGAAGGTAAAGAATCAATGACAAAGCTAAACTCTCTCCTTTGTCACTTACTGATTCATGGTTGCGTGTTCACAGATGTTTCTTGAGCACCTACTTTGTCCCAGTAACTGCCTGCTTCCAGCACTGGCCTTAAACAAGACTGCCAGGGTCTCTCTCTGCAACATTTTCTCCACTATGACTGCTTTTACCTTACCATTTGCGATTTTGAACTAAATACCGTGAGCCAAGAAATAATGTCTTTGCTCATTACTCTGGTTCAGGACACTTCGTTCATACTGAAGGAAACCCAACCCTGGACTTCGAAAGAATCTGGATTTTCCAATTAAAGGGGCCTTGCAGGGAATTTGCTGATGAGGAAACAAGATCCATGCCAACAAGTTAGTAAGTCAAGAAACAAGTTTGCAACAGGGTTAACTCCCAATCCAGGGTTCTTTAAGACTACCCAGCTACTGAAGGGCTCTGACTGGATTTAATTGGAAGAAATGCATCAATCCCAGAAGAGAATGTTCTGGGGGGCAGCAAAGGCAGGAAGGTAGGTGAGCAACCACACTGCTTCTTCACGACTTTCTTTCCTTTCCACAAAGAAGGAAGTTTCCAGGAAATTTCTGCAAACTTGGTTACAAATTTTTTCATCGCAAACGGGATGTGCTACAATTTCTTTCTAGGCAAGTGTACATTCAAAAAGGAATGGAGAGTTGAGGGTGTTACCTAGGTGTGTGTGTGTGTGAGTGTAAGTGTGTGTATACATGTGTAAGGAGTCGATGAAATAACACCAAGTAATATAGAAGCAGGAACCAGAAGAGAGAAAGAAAGAGGGTCAGCCTCTCTTGCCCAAAATGGATGGATGCACAGGTTACATTCTAAAAGTGATTCGGCAACCATCTATTTGATTTTTGCATGTGACTATAAACTGATAACTCTTGCTGGATACTATTGTACTTTATTCCAGCCCATCTCTCCCTAGGGTTCAGAATAACTTCATCATAAATAATCATCCTTGGTAAGGCACAATGTAACTTTTTCAAGAAAAGTTATTATTTTCTAAACCCTTTTTTTTCCATTATAAACTTTGATCTAGTACTGAATGTTAAGATTTATGTATCTTGAGAGTATTTATTTGATTCTCTCCTTTTTTTCATTATGAAATGAAAGCAAACTTATGGCCTCGGGTTCATGACATCCTTTACTGCTTGGCAAAGAAAAACAGAAGCGTCAGAGTAATTGTTTGGATAATTACTTTAAAAATCTAATTAAGGGAAGAAATGTTTAAGGTAGGCTCTAGAACATTCAGTTCTAGAAACAGTTTTCTGTGCTTTTTTGTCAGCCAGAGAGGTTTTAAAACATCTTTAAGATCTGTCATAGCAAGATTTCCTTTTCTAGTTTCTCGAGCTATGAAGCAGCTTTTCTACTTAAAAGTAATACCCCAGGATCCAAAAGTTAGGAATTTCTGGGTTTAGCTCTCACAAAAGATAATGTGCCATTTTTAAGAAATATGCCATGAATGAGGGGCTTTCAAAGGTTTTCTCTCAGATGTGAAATAAATGTAGGCACCTTATTGCATCCTACAGATTTTTATGAGGACCAGCATGGAGAAGTCTCCCAGATGAGTATTCTAGCTCAGAACTGGCCAGGTGATAATTAAGGGACACAGGAGAACCCAGACGTCTGGGAAATCCGCCTGTTCCCCTAACAGAGAAGGTTGTTGGGAGGAAAACCTCCTCCTACAATTCCACAAAAACTTTCTAAGATATAAGATGGACACGGGTTGTTTTTAAATCCTGTTGCTCTTCAACAATTGATCCATCAAGGCCCCTGATCTCCTTTTTTTTTTTAACTAATCATATTTTAAGATATTTTTTTACCCCCAATCTGTGTTGCAATTATGTATGCCTGAACTAGAAGACATCCTCTAACCTCCTAATTCAGAAAGCAGGCTGTGACAGCCACTAGTTTGGGTAAGAGTTGAAGATTCCAATACACAGTTGCAAAGATCAGAATGACATTGAAATATACAAACTATAACACACATACTCAACAACACACATATATCATTTATATTCAAAGGCTCACCACCCTTTGCACAAGACTTTACACTTGTGTCAAAGCTACTGGCTCTTGAGGAGAGCAATAGTATCAAGTATATATAACATCTATGATGTATTAAAGCATAAAGAAAACAGCAGTGATAAAGACAGCTCAGCTACTTTTAAAAAAAAAGAAAAGAAAAATCAGTCCTGGTCCAGCAGTTAGCCAGTCAGAAAGCGGGTCACATCTTGTTAGCTACATTAAATACATTAAACATCAGGAATTGTCCATGGCTCTATTGACAATTCAAGTGTATTTTATTTTATCATACAACCTTAACTGAGTCCCGCTTTGGAACTGAGAGTCAATCTTCTACCTAAAATTCTACCAATGCTAGTCCCCGAAAGCTCTTTGCCAGCGACCCTCCGGGTATCCATACTCTGCAGAGAGGACAAAATTCCCAGCGATTTCTACTTTCTAAAGTGACTCTGTGACAAACTCCTTCTCAGAACACTTCAACACAAAGCCCCAACTTGAAGGCAAAGGGGCAGCCCAGCTGTAGGACCGGTCAGCTCAGCCAGCACTGAGGAAAAGTCCGCGGGCATTCAATATTTAAATTGCAGGAGGCAGTCTGGAGTTTTTGCATTTACAAAGTTCTCAAAGTCCTGTATCCCCTGGTTCCCAGAGTTGCTTGCGAGGAGGTGAGGCTCCTCTCTCAGGCACCAGATCACAGAATTTGCCAAAAACTCAAGCTGATTTGATTTCTGAGCCAGCTCGGGTTGAAGGGAGGGCCCCAGGAGACACCCCGATCCTCCCTGGGAGAAAGTCAAGAACCCCTTGCCCCCAGCAAGTGGCTTCTGAATTTAACAGGGAAATAGACAACCAGGTCCCTCCCAGGGCCAGTTCTGAAAAGTACCAGGGGTGGCTCTACGCCCTTTTCACCTCAATCCTGATGACTTTGAAAAGCAAATGCAGGTCAAAGCAGACTTCCTCCAGGATTTGCTTTAAAAAAAAAAAATTGCTGGATGCCAATGAGCGTGGAATCTCTTAGAACTCTATCTCAAGAAACACTAAGAGGGGACCCACGCGGAGCCTGCAAGACGCCAGAGTTCTGGGAAAGCAGCATTTCTGGAGACCCTACAGGCGAATCAAGTGCTGGGTTGTCTCTCAAGATTCCAGCAGAAACTGTCCCCACCTCCAAGAGTTGCTGTGCAAGAAACCCAGCGTTCAAACTCGTGGCTTCATCCTGGCGCTCATTTCCACGTACGCGGTAGGATCTAGCGGGACACTTCCCGCAGGATGCAGCCAGCCACGCAGGAAAAGCTCGGGCACAGTTTGGGGGAAGAAGAAAAAAAAAAAAAAAAAAAAGACAGCAACACACACCCAAGGTTGAAGTCCTTACCTCGGAGCGGGACTGCAGCCTCTTGTTCATCTCATAGATTCGGTACTCTGGTTGTACCATATAGGGTGTGTGTCTCCTATAGAACGGTCCGAAAGGAGAAGAATAGAAGGGGTCATGTGGTGTGCTGGACATCTTGCCTGCTTGTCGAAAATCAAGCCAAACACAGTATCAGTAACGTCCATGCAGAGCACATGGGCTGTGTTCTCCCCACTACAAAGTAGCCGCACGCACACGCTCGCACACACGCGCGCGCGCGCATACACACTCACACACGCACGCACACACGCGCGCACACACAGAGGCAGGCAGGCAGGCTGAGCACAGCGGCGGGGGACTGCCGTGGGAGCCTCTAAAGCGAGAGAGCCCGGAGAGCGGGCGGCAGGGAGGAGGGAGGCAGGGAGGGGAGGGAGAGCCGGAGAGCTGGCGCTTCGGAGAGGGAGGGAGGCTGGGAGGGAGGGAGGGAGGCTGGGAGAGGGGACTTGGATGGCTTTAGGCATCACTGCTTGTTTTTAAAGAAGCAGTTTGTGGAGAGGTCATTTCCTGTCCGCACCGTGCGCGAGTTCAAAAAATATCCTTCTCCTCGCAGTCTGACGGAGGTCTAAGGTTTGGTGGGGATTTTATTTTATTTTTTCCTTTCCCCTCCAGCCAGGACCCTTCACAACCTGCCGGCTGAGCTTGTTAGCATTTAGGTGGTTTAACAGCTCCCAGCTGAGCCGCTCAGCCCCCCGACTACCACAGCCATTGTCATGGATCAGAGAGGTGACGGCTAGAAGACACAGCAACAGGGGGTGTCCAGGCCCCCCAAAGCTGAGCTGGTGGTTCACTCCCAGGCAGCTTCGCTCTGCACTAAGCTCCCTCTGTAGTTTGGGTTTTCCTTGCTGTTTGAGAGCTTGGTGGAGTCTTTGCATTTCAATCCCTCCCTGGGAGCCCCCTAGGCCCCTGTCTGTCACCCTTCTTCCCAGCGCACGCCCTCTCCTCCTCCCAAAGCTTCACTCAGGCTGCTTTAAGGGGGCCTAGATTCAGGTCACTGAAACATTTTCAGGTTAAAAATAATGATTATTTGCAATGTGGAATGGCCAAGAAACACGTATGGTGCAATGGTCTTCTTTCCCTATGAGACAGAATAAAGGAAACAAAATCTCCCAAAGCAGACCTCCAAGTAAGATGGGAAAATCAAGACAGAAAACTCCTGCAAAAAATGTCAATGGAAAATTCAGTTGAGTAGGAAATTGCAAATAATTGAATGGTTTATCCCCAAATAACATGCCCAACTCTGATGGAGACAAGGCCTTTATTTTCTAAGATGGGTTATGTCCATGAATCTTTTCTCAATCATGGTATATGATAACTGCAAGAAAGCCTGCACCACCCACGGGAGGGGAGAGGATGGATGTCTATAGAGATGAAATGATCTATATGGCAATCAAATTCTGCTGGAACCAATGATAACCAGATATCTACTCCTTAAACAAAGCCCAGATATAAAAGCGCAGAAAATGTAAATATTTTGAGCCAGTATCTAGCTAGGTCAGTGGTATTAAAGAAAGAAAGCAGAAACCACCAAAAAGCTTGATGCATGTAAGACTTGAATGTAAATGCATGCAAATGAGACATTTCTTCTTTTTAATAAGCAGGTTAATTAACTTTCTGCCCCAGCCATGGCTTGGGGTATCTGTAGGTCACTAGCCAACAGGGGATAAGGTATTGCTAATTCTGCAATTTACACTCCAGCATCCAAATGCCTCCAAATTGCCATCTTGATTTGTCCTTCTCCATAACTGCATGAAATGTTTGCAGAGTCCACCTCAAACTTACAGTGCAACTCAATACAGTAACTGTCTCTCGCCAGGATGAGATTAGGGAAGGCCTTGCATGCACTAAGGCTGCGTGGAAGGCTTCCTTCCAGAGGACCCCAGGGCAGGCCAGCACGCTGGGTTTCGGGTTTCATTACAAATCCAAAAGCTGGACCAAATTTGCTGCCAGGTTTGTCAAAACACACAACCTTCTGAAGACAGGATTTCAAACAAATTTGGCTTGATTTATGTTTTGGAATGATGGCCACTGCAAAGCCTAACCGTTGCCTGTGTTTAAATTCCCCAACTCAAGGCGGCCCAAGAGTTCAGTGCCGCCCAAGTTTGTGTTTACGTGGCTGTCTCGGTTGGAGAATTAAAGTAACACCGAGCAAGCCAGTGCAGTCCCATCCTGATCAAAACTGGGGAAAGCTCAACAATCCATTGAGGGAACCCCTTTCTGAATAAGATGGAGTTTTGCTCTCATTATTTCTATAAAGATGGTTCCAAATGGTTATTGGAAATATTTCTTCCTGTTAATACCTAAAGAGTCCACGTTTGGAAATATCTGATACTGTTCACACATCCACAGTTCTCTTCTGACTTGGGATTCATCCTTATTACAAGCCGAAGGTTGATTATAGAAAAGGAAGTAAGCTTGCCCACATTTTCCCTTCAGTGTTTTCTCCGCTGTCCGTGGGGTAATGCCCAAGCTCGTTAAAACTTTCTCTCTCTCTGCCTCTCCATCTCTTTCTGTTTGTTTCCTGTGTCTCTGTCAAACACACACACAATTTGTTTGTTTGCTTGCTGCACGCAATCTGTCCGTAGTTACAGCCTCACTTCATGCTGCCAAGCATCGGCCCTTGGTCCCTTGCTTACCCGCAAACTCCTCCTCACCCTCCTCTCCAATTAAAGTGGCCCCTGCCCTGTGAAACTTTCTTTTTCATTACCCATTCACTGATGTGTTTATCCACACATACTTCATTGGCATTGGATGGCGGCACAGTGGAACACTGGCCAGAGCACATCTCAACCCTGGTTCTACTGCTTACCTGTCTTGTCAACTTGACCAAGTGCCTTGATCTCTGTATGCCTTGGGAACCTTATTTTTAAATTGGGAAAAATAATAGTAACAATCCATAAGACTGCTGCAATGGATTGTATGAGATGATGCACCAGAATGGATTAGAGCCCACACATATGAGTGCTCAAAAATGATACTATTAGGTACCTAATATATGCATAGGTGCTAGGAAATATAATTTAAATTGTAATGCATGCTATGAAAGAAAAAAAAATTGAAAGAGATAAGAAATATTCAAAAAAAGGAATATTCAATAATTTCCCCCTTTGGGTAAACTGTATTTTCTATATTCTTCTATTGGAGAATTTATACATAGATGTAGTAATTGCTATTTTTTCTGAAGACTTTACTTTGTGGCAGGCACTGTGCTGACTGGTTACACAAGCTAATCTCACAACAAACCTATGTGATTGATGGAATTACTGTCCGCATCTTTCAGAAATGGAGACTAGGACATGGAGAGGCTAAGAAATTCCTTCAAAATCAAATAATTAATGATAGTGACAAGATTCATACCAGTCTGCCTGAGTCTTAAGCAGTTTGCTACTTTGAACCTAGGTCCATCCTCCTCTTCTTTAGGGCCTCTCTCTTCTTTATCCCCAGTGGCCAGCAGGGTACTGAGCCCTTGGGTAGGTACCCAAGCCATGCGTACAGAATTAATTAGAAGAAAAGGCAAGAACGTGAAATGGCTCTCATCACCTGGATTTTATTTTTTATCCTGCTCAGTGTCAGACATGCATTGTCCCCACCACCCCACTTCTACCCTGAAGCCTTGCCAAACAACTTCCACTTTTCTCATCATCCGAATCTTCCAGCACGTACTCTCAAAGTCACACTGTTAGATGTTTAATCCTTTACATGATCAAGTTACCTGCTTGGTTTTGACACTTCCCTGCTTCTTTTGTTTTTTGGGGGTTTTCTTACTCTTTTCTTAAAATTCTTATTTGATATTGGGGTATATTTGATTAGCAATGTGTTGTTAGTTTCAGATGTACGGCAGAGTGATTTAGCTATACATATGCATATGTTGTTTAGTCACCAAGTTTTGTCCAACTCTTTTTGTGACTCCAAGGACTGCAGCCTGCCAGGCTCCTCTGTCCATGGGATTTTCCAGGCAAGAATACTGGAAGTGGGTTGTTATTTCCTTCCTCAAGGGATCTTCCTGACCCAGGGATCGAATCCTCATCCTCTGCTTGGCAAGCAGGTTCTTTACCAATAAGCCCCCCGGGATTCCCACATATGCATATATCTATTCTTTTTCAGATTCTTTTCCCATGTAGGTTATCACAGAGTGCCGAGCAGACTTCCGCATGTTATACAGCAGGTCCTTGTTGAGCATCTGTTACGCATGCATGTATATATTTGTGTGTCTAGGTTAATCCCAACCTCCCTATTTACCTCTCCCCCGCCACTAAGGCACCTGCTATGACTCATCTTATCCTGTATCTTATTCTATATCTTAAGCCTGAGAAGTGAAAGAAATGTGCTCATTTGAAGCCTGTAAATCAACTCCTTTGGAAAACCATACAGAAATTCAAGAAGCAATGTTTGTATACCATAAAAGATTGAACATGTCTAACCCCAGTGCAACAGTTCTATTACCCCCCAAATTGAACCATGCTAGTTTGCATATAACTTTGCACATTGAGTGTTGAATATGCCCCCAAAGTCCTCTCAACAGACATTCCGGATGCCCTAAAACCTGGTCTGACCTTTGAGTTTGAGGCTTCGTCTTACTATAGTCACCCTAGGTTTAACCCACAGAGAGTTTATTTTTCCTTTCACTTGAAATACTTGCCAACAGCTTACGAAAACCAAGAATTTCATGCAAAATCCAGATTTTCATCTTCTCTTGAAAAGAAGCTCTGGCACCCCTGGCCCCATCTCTGCCGGCAGGGCAGCCTGCAGTGGGACCAGTTAGCACTTGTCCATCCTCCATGGTCTCCATCACTCCACAGCCTTCACCAGCCAGTGTCCCTAGTTTCCATTTGCCTGCCTGACTCATCTAGATATTGAAGTCGTGTCCCTTTCCTTAATCTGTCCAACTGCATGGTCTCCAGTTCCTTCTACTAAGCTGTATTTGATTTAGAAAGCTACTTTTCTTACCACTCTTTTGTTGTCCTTCTCTGCCTTTCCTTGCCTATATCTGTGCCTTTTATTTTTTCTTTCTGCCTCTTCATTCCATAAGCATTTAGCTAACATATACATGCAAGATACAGCTGAAATGTGACAGACAGATAAAATAAACAAAGACATGA